AAAAGCCACCAAGGAAAAAAGAAGAAAGAAATCTTCCAACAGTGACATGATTAGAAACAAGATAGAGCCAGAAAACTTTTGACATTGTTAGAAAAATATTTCTTTAGAGCTGTCTCAGAAACTAGCATTAAAAAGTAAAGATTTTTTTCTTTATGAATTTCTGACAATCAATCTTCTGCTTTCAAATACTTCATCCCTAGATCAAGGACACAATACAAAGATCATAGTAACCAGTACTGTGTTGTCAACTGGACTGCTGATCCTGGGCCTTACTCTGCTATTACATGTGAGGAAAAACCAGCAACAAAAATATGGTAAGCTATTTGATTTTCTACTCTTCTGCCCCTTCATTTTCTAAGATAGGTAGGTTCAGTTCTATAGAAATTTTTTGCTGTTGCCTCTCTGGTTTCTAAGCTAAGGTTCCATGCTACATTATTTACTTCACTGCGTACTTCACAGGAGAATTGAAGCCCGGCCAAAAGAAAGATATGGAATTGCCATTATTTAACTTGGCCGCTGTTGTTTGTGCAACCAAAATTTTTTCAAACAACAATAAACTTGGAGAAGGTGGTTTCGGATCAGTCTTTAAGGTAAAATCAAATATAGTCCTCCCTACAGTTAGCTTGACAGTTTCCGCATGTCATTTGGGTCAGTACTATGGATACAAGTCGTATATTGAACGTTTGCAAACAACAGAGTATGGATTTTGGTAATCATATGTGGCTAATGGATTTCAGGGTACATTTAAAGATGGACAAGAAATAGATGTGAAAACGCTCTCAAAACATTCTAGACAAGGACTCAATGAGTTGAAGAATGAGGTTACACATGAAGAGAAACAGAGGATTTAAATGAGCTGAAGAAAGGTGGGTTGGTGCTAGAGATAGCGAGTGGGAAGAGGAACAAAGGATTTACTCATTACTTGTTTCTATTTCTTCTTTTAATTAAGCACAATGGTTTTGAACTTTTGATCAATTCCTTTAGTCAAGGATGCTATACACAGAAGGCAGGTCCATTGAAGTGCTTGATACATCAGTAGGGGACTCCAGTGAGATCAATTCATGTAGGTCTTTTAAGTGTGCAGCGTAACCTGGCAGATAGGCCGAGCATGCCAGTTGCAGTTGTAATGCTGAGTGGTGAAGGGTCATTGCCTCAACCTCAAAAACCTGGTTTTTATAGTGAATGGGATCTCAATCAACTCGAAGTCGATCCTTCGCCTTAAGCATTTTCAGCTAATGAAGTCACAGTCATTTTACACTAATGGAGGCTCGATAAACGATATTTCATGTTGGTGTGTTAATCTGGTGTTTTTGAAGTCAGTTTGAAAAGTTAAATATAATTAAGAGATTCCCAACCCATGCGTTAGCTAATGCACCCTCTAATTTTCTTTACTTGTTTTCTTTGGAGTTGGGGTGGAGTTCACACAATAGAAACACAGATGCTGATACAAGAACAAATATAAAAACTTAAATGAATTAGATTTTTCACTTGAGGTGGTGTAATCTTTCAAATTTTTTTTTCTGTTTTTTGGTGGGTTGGTTTTGGGTTCCTATGCAACAGGAGGAGGAGACAAATCTTCCTTTTTTATTTTTTATTTTTCTCTCTCAGCAAACAAGAAGGTATTATCAAATGTCAAAATCTATAACAGAAATGCAATATCCAAAGATAGGAGGAGGAGACAAATCTTCCTTTTTTCTTTTTCTTTTTTTCTCTCTCAGCAAACAAGAAGGCATTATCAAATGTCAAAATCTATAACAGAAATACAATATCCAAAGAATGAAAAGCAGTCCAACCAAGAAGAAACTAGCAAATATTACTGAATCAGCAAAACTTATGAATTTAGCAAATAAAGAACCTGAAGCCAGTTTCAAGCAGAAAAAACTTACTTGTGTAATATGAAGAGCCTGCTTAAGCCGCTGAATTTGAATCCATTGTTCTGTAACAATGTCAGCCATCTGAAAGCAAAGAGAAAGAAGCCAATGGCAAAATGACATCACACTAACAGCATCACACACTCATAGCCATAGACCAAAGATGGACTGAGTACATCGGTGCATCAGCATGACCTTTTGAGCCTGAGAGGCAACCGTTTCGAGTCTATACTCATAGCCACAGACCAAAGATGGACTGAGTACATCAGTGCATGACCTTTTGAGCCTGAGAGGCAACCGTTTCGAGTCTATCCTCGGCATCTTGTGCTTTAGACTCTAAAACATGAAGATCGAAGTTGTACTCTAATTCAACTTCTACAACATATTAACTCTAATTCAAATCACAACACGAGTTGTTGAAATCATGATAGAATACATATATGTAACATCTTAAATGGAGAAGTTACCCACTTCCAAGGAGCATCTCAAGCAGGAAGATTCGAAGGCTTTAGACTGAGACTAGCAAAAATATTCACGAGATCTCTTTCTTCCATATCTGCATGATTATGTTCAACAACACAAGTGTTACCACATAAAGGAAGGAAGGTAGGTAGGTTCAATGAATGACAAGGCAACAAAATTACCAACCAGAGTCACAACCGTGCTACAATTTCAATGTTGCGAAGATATATATTCTTAACTTGTTAGGAAAGAATTGGACACCCAAAAATAACACCTAAATATATTACCAATTTTATTAAACTTAAAAGAAGACTTAAAGAATAACCAATTCTGTAGTTCCAAAATAAATAAAATAATAATTTGTAAGTCATATCCCTTGCCTGGACTGGAAATAGGTGATGAGTGCATTATTGTTGGAACTGTGCGTGGCTCCTTTACTATTTTGGACTCCATCTTCTCATAAGAAGTTTCACCAATTAACTAAGACATCCGTTAATTGCTTCTCCCCAATATGCTCATTTCCATAAGCTACGGAAGTCTTTGTTTCTCCTATAACTGAGATAAGAAATCATAAGCATTGCACATATAGCATCCATTTACCACAGGAATAAAATGCTATCTTCACACTTTTAATAACACATCCAAAATATTTTACTAACCAAATTCTATTGCATGAACTCTACAATAAGAGCAATTTATAATTTTTCTTTTTATAACACAAATTTAAGTTACAAACTTTCATTAAAACAAAGAAAGAGAATCGTGATGCAAAAGACACTATTGATAATAATAGTGAAGATTATTTGTACCATTCCTTATTCTCAGTTCTGATTATTTGACTTCAGTAGCAGGCAAAGTTGCATCTACCAGATGGTCACTGGAACCATATTCCTTTGAATTCTGCTAACCAAGAGGAGCCGGTTCTGACGAAGACATAAGAGCAACCAATTTTACCACTAAGAGTGTATCAAAAAGCAAAAACTTTCACTATCTAGGATGTACTTAATCATCCATATATACAAGGGGAGAATGGAGATGATGTGGCTCATAGAATCAAAGCACGATAGGTAATTTGTTAAGCATATATATAGTGTGACCATCATATTATGCTAGAATTGAAAGCTAAGCTCATAGAACATCTGTTAGACCAGCCATGCTATATGGGACTGAATTCTGGACAGTTAGAAAACAGACATATTCATAATTCCTGTAGGTACGTATTAGCCAATGTTACAACCAGCACAGTGATATGCACACCTACATCTCTGTTTCTCTAACGGCATATTAGTCATTATTAGACACAAATTATTAAGAGATCAGATTAAAATATTTGTCACCATTTGAATCCTTCAAAATTGGAGGTGTTTGCTGAATAATCTTTGCTATCTTTCAAAATTGAAGGGTCATTGCCTCAACCTTAAAAGCCGGGATTTTATAGTGAAAGGGATGTCAATGAACTCGAGGTCTATCCTTCTTCTAAAGCATTTTCAGCTAATGAAGTTACAGTCAATGGAGGCTCGATAAACAATATTTCATGTTGGTATGTTAATCTGGTGCTTTTGAAGTCAGTTTGAAAAGTTAAATCTAATTAAGAGATTCCCAACCCATGCAATAGCAAATGCACCCTCTAATTTTCTTTATTTGTTTTCTTTGGAGTTGGGGTGGAGTTCACACAATAGAAACACAGATGCTGATACAAGAACAAATATAAAAACTTAAATGAATTAGATTTTTCACTTGAGGTGGTGTAATATTTCTTTCTTTTTTTTTTCTTTTTTTTTGGGGTCTTTGGTGGGTTGGTTTTGGGTTCCTATGCAACAGGAGGAGGAGACGAATCTTTCTTCTTCTTTTTTCGCTCAGCAAACAAGAGGGCATTATCAAATGTCAAAATCTATAACAGAAAAGCAATATCCAAAGAATGAAAAGCAGTCCAACCAAGAAGAAACTAGCAAATATTACTGACTCAGCAACACTTATGAATTTAGCAAATAAAGAACCTGAAGCCAGTTTCAAGCAAAAAAAACTTACTTGTGTAATATGAAGAGCCTGCTCAAGCCGCTGAATTTGAATCCATTGTTCTGTAACAATGTCAGCCATCTGAAGGCAAAGAGAAAGAAGCCAATGACAAAATGAACACCACACTAACAACATCACACAATCATAGCCATAGACCAAAGATGGATTGAGTACATCAGTGCATGACCTTTTGAGCCTGAGAGGCAACCGTTTCGAGTCTATCATCGGCATCTTGTGCTTTAGACTCTAAAAATGGGCCTAGGCGGGCGGCTAGGCGGCTAGGCGGGCAGCTAGGCGGCTAGGCGGGAGCTAGGCGGCTGGGCGGGCCTCCTAGGCAGGTTGGGTCTTTTTTCGGTGCTGAACCTGGAGGACGAAGCAGTCGAAACCGAAGAAAACAAATCGAAGCTTGAAGCGAAACGTCGACTGCAACCTCCGTCGTCCTCGTGAACATATTTGCAGATTGTAGCCGCGCGGCTATACTGTTAAATTATTCGACGGCTATACTTTTAAAATATTCGAATGTATTTAGAACGTATAGCCGACCGGACTGTAAAAAGATACTAATATATTTGGCGAGTATAGCCGCCCGTCTATACTCTTTAAATATACAATTTTGTCATATCATTTTAAGGTATATATTTTATAGTCTAAACCTGCTGGGGTCCTTTTTTTTCTTTCTTTTTTTTTTTTTAAGTTTCATTTTTAAATAAATAGTATCGTCGTTGCGGCGATATTCCTCTTAAAAATAATATACTTTAAATTACCAAAAAGGGTATAGCCGAGTGGCTATACTTGGGCGCTGTATCGCAATGTGAGTGCTAAGCGCTATACAGGTCGTCCTTTAAAAGAAATAGTATTTAAATACAAGGGTATAGCCATGCGGCGCGGCTATACCAGCTAATGATAATATTATTTTCTGTTGGTCTACCATCCAAAGATAACGAAAGTCAACTACTTCGAACTACAGTCCATATACTCCAATAGGTGTTGCTGTATTTGTATGGGTTTAGGGTTATCGAAGCTTGAAGGGAAACGTCAACTGCAACCTCCATCGTCTGTGAGTATAAGCTTCGTGAACATATTTGTAGAGCATAGCCGAGCGGCTATACTATTAATCGACGGCAATACTTTTAAAATATTCGAATGTATTTAGAATGTATAGCCGACCGGCTATACTGTAAAAAGATAAGTATAGCCGCCCGTCTATACTCTTTAAATATACAATTTGTCATATCATTTTAAGGTATATATTTTATATTCTAAACCTGCTAGGGTCTTCTTTTTTTTTTTTTTCTTTTTTTTTAAAGTTTCATTTTTAAATAAATAGTATCGTCGTTGTGGCGATATTCCTCTTAAAAATAATATACTTTAAGTTACCAAAAAGGGTATAGCCGCATGGCTATACTTGGGTGCTGTATCGCTATGTGGGTGCTAAGCGTTATGCGGGTCGTCCTTTACAAAAAATAGTATTCAAATACAAGGGTATAGCCATGCGGCTTGACTGGGGTTTTAACAAACAGTATAGCCATGCGGCGAGGCTATACCGGCTAATGATAATATTATTTTCTGTTGGTCTACCATCCAGAGATAACAAAAGTCAACTGCTCTGAACTACAGTCCATATACTCCAATAGGTGTTGCTGTATTTGTATGCCCCAAAAAGATAGATCACATTGCCCAGCATCCTGAGCTTTCCAGAGTTAAAGCATATGGGAAAGTGTTCATTGTTAAAATACATGTATTTTTTCAGAATTGATTTATCTTGTTATGTTTTGTTTGTTATATTTTGGCAATATCTAATGATATTGCTCTGCGCCTTGTTGCAATTGCCTTCTTATCATGCTGCAATGTTTCTTGGTGATAGTGATGGAGAGAGGATGAGTCTTGTAATGTACTTCAAAGTTTCTGAGAATTTTGATAAAGACGTCTCTCCTCAATTCCATGATAGCATCAAGGTAACTTCATTTTGTATGCAACTTCATCCATTTGGAAGGCATGTACTTTATTCTGATGTACTCTCCCTGATGGAAATGTGGTCATATGTATTGGAACTCAGTCTATTGATATATTTGAATGATGCTTTTAGAAAATGGTTGACGATGAGACTGAAAAAGTTAAAGGATTCGCAAAGGACTCCACTGTATCTTTTAGAGAAAGACTAAAGATCTTGGCTGGGGTGGTAAATCCTGAGGATCTCGGTCGGAGTTCTGCTGAGAAGAAGCTTGTACATACATATAATGACAAATCAGTTATTTCATGCCCCCTGCACAATTTTTACAAGGTGTCGGAGTTCTGCTGAGAAGAAACTTGTACATGCATCAGAAGCTTGTACATGCATATAATGACAAACTAGTTCTTTCACGCCCCAACACAATTTTCACAAGGTAAACATTGAACATTTATGTTGTTGAGTGTTGAGAAGATGAAACATAAAAACCATGGTGTTTGAATTTACCAAGCTCTCTCACATGCAGGGTCCTAACTACTTTGAGATTGATCTGGACATTCATCGGTTCAGCTACATATCAAAGAAGGGTCTCAAATTGTTGTGAGAACGTCCGAGCGGCTATACTCATAAAATATTATAGCGTATAGCCACGCAGCTATACTTTTAAAATATCTCTTCTAAAATATTCTGTTTATAGCGGATAGTCACTCTAAAATATTCTTTTTATCGAGTATAGTCGCACGGCCATCCTTCAAAAATATTCTTTTTTTCGAGTATACTCCCACGGCCATACTTTTAAAATATTCTTTTTATGGAGTATAGCTGGGCGGCGATAAACTTTTAAAATATTTTATTTATGGAGTATCGCCGTGCGGCTATACTATCTTTTAAAATATCTTGTTTATAGCTTATAGCCGCGCGGCTATACTTAATCAGAAACATACACAAATTGGACGCCATAGTAATCACGGATAGAGGACTCGAATTCGTCGCTACGAACATCTAGGGCACAGAGCAAGCCCGTTCTAGGTTTCGAGCAGTGTTCGAAAAATCGGCCTAGGCGCTAGGCGGGAGGACACCTACGCTAGGGAGTTAGGTGGGGCCTAGGAGGCATGGGAGGATCTAGGCGGCTT